TAGCCGAGTCTGGCAAACACCGAAGGCCGAGAATGTGTTTTTCCACTGCAATACACATACTATTTTTTCTGCGATCGGTTAAATATCTGGTAAATGTTTGTCTTTTTGTTCCAATTATTCAGCAGTATGAGAATCACTTTTCCGGCCTAGGCCGGGAAAGTGATTCTCGTATTGTTATTCATTGATTCCTTAGCAACTATTGAAACATAATTAAAATACCAGAACATTGAGTTTTGCCACCTCGGTCAAAATTGCTGACATTTCTTGTCAATCGCAGAAAAACGTTTATTTTTCTTATATAAAAATAATTTATTCAGTTCAATAGGGGGGGTTCGAACCCTCAAACCCCCCCCCCCCTTATATACGTTCTTGCTATCACCTGTAATTACGGCTGTAGGTGAGTTTCAAAATATGGTGACTCACCCTAGCCACCCTGTACATTACACACCCTTTTCAAGATATTACGTCACAAAGTCGATGTTGTCGATTGCTCGCAAAAGTCGCAAACATCTTCAGCGTAGATTGAGCGGTGTAGCCAGATGGTTTTGAAATCTTTGTTTTTAACATTGAAAATGTTTATCGCACGGGCACATAGGGATGCCTGCGAACTTTTGGACTCTTGGAAAGAGTATGAACAACAACCTGGAACAAGCCAAGTGATCTGGAACAAATCGGGCAAGTGTTTGGAAGAAGTCCAGAGAGGTCAGGAAAGGACTGGATAAGGTCTGGAGCAGTCTGTACAAGTCTGGATTAATCTGGATAAAGTCCGGAAAAAGTCTGGTTAATGTCTGGAAAGGTCTGGAAATCTCTGGAAACGTCTGGAAAGGGTCTGAAAATTTCTGGCAAGGGTCGGAAAAATTCCGAAATAGGTCCCAAAAGACCTGGCGATCATTTTTCGGAATCCGGATCAGTCTGTACAAGTCTGGATAAATCTGGATAAAGTCTTGAAAACTCTGGAAACTCTGAATAAGTCTGGATATGGAAGAATCTGGAAATCTCCGGAAACGTCTGGAAAAAGCCTGGAAATTTCTGGAAGGCGTCGGAAAAATTCTGGAAAATCTGGAAGAGGTCACAAAAGACCTGGGGATCATTTTCCAGAATCCGTATAAAATCTAGAAAAACCTGGAAAGGTCAGGAGAGAGCTCAGAAGCACCAAAAAAATATTCCCCAAAATCTGGATATTTTCTGAAAAATCTGGGAAAACAGAAAACGGTCAGAAAAAGGTCTAGAACGGTCCGGGTAGGTCTGGATATCTTCTGAAGAGCGATCTAAGTACGAGAAGACCTAGTCATCAGGCGAAATGGCGCATGCTAAGGAACTTATAGCGAGCTTGAGGCAAACATGCGGAAGAGGAAGCTTCACGAAAGCCTAGAGAAAGAGCTGCAGAAGAGGGAAGGGAGAGAGAAGGGAAATTTCACCAAACGCTCCATGCTGAAAAGATCGCCTGAGGTTTAGAAGCTTGTGGAAAGCAATAAAGGCTGAAGCAATAAAGAAAGCTGACCGAGGCTATGCAGGATCAGACCTTAAAAAAGAAGAAAGCAACAAGCGCCAACATACCTAACGACGCAATCAGAATCAGACATATATTCGCGGAAATACCGGATAATAAGGGTTATTTACAGGGATCGCCTAAAAATGGATTACTTCCCTAGGATTTGGAAGGCCGCGGATATAGCCTGGATTCCCAAAAAGAGCAGCACCCTGAGGCCGATCAGTCTCCTACCTACACTGGGGAAATTACTGGATGAAATGCTAAATAAAAGATTACTGATACATATTTAAAGAACAGGCAACCTTAGCATCAGACAGTACGGTTTTAGGAAAGGAACCGGAACAGTTGAAGCCCTAAGCAATATCTAGGCCAACATGTATAGAAATAAATCTCAAGACCATTATTTGCTTAGACCTCAAAAACGCCTAAAATTCGGCATGGGGACCAAAAGTCAGCAAGGAGCTAGAGAGGGCTGATACGCCAGACTGCGCAACATAACCTCCACGAAATCTGCGAAAACTTCATGAATGACAATTGTAAAATCAGGAAAAGTCAAACGGAACATGATAAGGGGATGCCCGCAAGGGTCAAGCCTCGGACCTACATTATGGCTGATGATTATGCAGGGATGGTTTAGATGCATTAACAATGCAAACGATAGATGGAAACGAACAAACTTGGATAACCTGGCGGACACCCAAGCTTACGCAGATAACCAGCTCATTGATCTTTGTGGTTTCAGGCTTACTCGCAATAATGGAGGCAAAATAAAACCTAAAATGTGTTTTTTTTTTAAAGATAAAAGTCAAAATGACATTATGTTAGCAATACAATGTAAAATTAGGCCTGTTCGCACAGAAATCACCAACCAGTCAGAGCGAATTTCATTGGTTGAAACTAGTTTTCTGACCGTTTCCAACCAATGAAATTCGCTCTGACTGGTTTGTGATTGCTGTGCGAACAGGCCTATTGTCAATGCTCTCAAATTTATTTATTTGTCACTCATTTGTAAAACGTCACTTATCAAGTCAAAACATAACCAGCGAAAATTGATTTTTACAAGCTACTGGCTCTACTGACTTGTAAAATTGACAGCTAAACTGTAAAAACTTTTTACAAGTCAGTAGAATTATTTATTTTTGAAAAATCGGTTTTATCACAAGAATAATTGCTTGTAGGTACCTTCTGGGAGACTTTTCTGGTGATAAACTGTTGGCTACGACTGAGGCTTCATTAATAATATCTTGTAATAAATTCATTTCTGGAAAAAAATTGCAAAATGGAAATCTGTCAAAAAAACCTATTTATAACTAGAAACAACGTCTTAACAACGTATCATTCTCATAGTTATACCAACTACCAAAACTTCTGTGAGAAAAAATCAAGGAAAAACATATAAATTTCAAATTTTTGTTATGTATTGATTTTTTATTTGTCCCTATATCTTTTACAAATGAGTAACAAATAAATTATTGTACATTATACGCCAGGTAGCAGTTTTTACTGGCTCTTGAAGGTGACAAGCTCGCCTGGCGGCTCGCTAGTCATTTCCTTCAATCGCCAGTAAAAACTGTTTTACCTGGCTAATAATGTAAAATACTATATGTAGAAAAGGCTTGTGTTGCCAACATAGTTACTAAATTTTTGACTTGGGGAATTATCTTTAAAAAAAAACAGACTTTATCATCCGTTCACAATCCCATGTCCATAGGTAGGTACAGGTAAAATCACCTTTCAATGCTATTTGATAGGGAAAGGTGATAAATGTACCTGCACCTGTGGACATCGGATTATGAACAGGATATAGTATGGGAATTAGGATTATCGAGGGTATCTCCAGGCTAGTATGAGCCTGCAATAAAGCCTGTGAGCAGTGGGAACAAAGAAGTGACGTACGATACAATAAGGAAAAGACCGAAGTCCTATTATTTATGATCTCCAATAACAAGAAAATGAGAGGGCCCAGAATCAAAATTGACAGAGTGATAGCTACCTTGCAGAAGTACGTCAGGTATCTCGGAGTCACCATAGACACACAGCGAAATTACCATGAGCACATGAGAACAGTAAGGATCAAAGTTTCGAAAATGTGAATGACTCTAACATGGTCATTGAAGAGAAAATGGGAACATAGCCGAACTGTTCTCAGAGAGGTAGGTACTGAAGCCAGCATATGCGAATGAGATCTGGGGAGGCAGGGTGGACACGACACTGGGAAGAAGGCACCTAGACGCAGCAGCCAGACTACTGCTACTGCTTACATACAGAGCCTACGCTACCACGCCAAATAGCGCGCTACAAGTCCTAGAAGGTTTTCTGCTAGCTATGGATCGAGGCAGACGAAAGACGACGAGACTTGTTAACAAAATACAATGAAAAACAGGCCGCGAAAGTAAAATCCACAGACAGTATAGACCTGAGTCTGAGCTTCAAGTCCACACTGCTGTCAACGGGGCACAGAAATTTTGAGCAATATGTTTACCGATTTAAACTCCGCCAGACGGAGGAGATCTGCACAAGTATAAAGGACAGGCGGCATGTGAGAAAGGTGTGCAAAATCGTAGAAAAGCAACAAATTAGGGAGCAAATACGAACAGAGTATGGCGACCTAACAATAACCTCAAGGCAGGTGAACAGAATAATTCCGGAACAACTTCTAAAAAAATCAACAAGTGGGCAGAAGTCGCAGTCAGGAATGCTGACATGGACCGCGAGGTAGAAGGAGAGGAAGCAGCATGACTGCATTATTGGCATGTACAGGCTGGCCAGCAAACAGCTCCGTTCGGAGCAGTTTTCACTGTTTAGGTTAGTTTGGTTGAATACGAAAATCAAAGTTAAAAATAAAGTTGTGAATAAAATTTTCTGTTCGTGTCAATTAAATAATTTTTACTCCTATACAAAAATGATTCACCTAATTAATTCTTGTGTTCACAAACATTTTTGCCTTACATGGCACACCATCTAAAAAAAGAACTATCTGGCAACACCGCTTGATCTAAAGGAAAGTTTACACCGGTTACACTGGCCGTGAATAACGAGAATGGTCCATGCTTTGAATTATTCGTTTAATATGACATATGACATTCAAATCTATGAGTTTTCGCTGATCTAAGCTCATGGCTCATAATAATCACAAGCATAAGCGTTGAAGTCTGCTTCGGAATTTTCAATGTTCCTACCGGTTGCATCTTTGTGAAGGCCTGTGAATTTTTTTTATGAAAACATTTTCTCAAACATTTTCATCGGCCTTCCACTCCCATTTATTGACATGCGCAAATACGTTCTAGCATCATGTTACCTAATTGATGATAACAATGCAAGACGGTGTAAACTGATTTCAAGAAATAGGCGTTATTTAGTTTCGAATGACACTTCTGAGTTTTCTGAACTTCTACCCAACATATACCGTAGAATGCTGTTGGTGCTTGAAATCAGATTAAGGCTTAATTTTTTGTATCTAGAAATCATTATTTCCTTTCCTGCTTTTAATTTTATAATATATTATTAGGCAAACCCAATTCGACTGAACTACACCAAAAATCCGCCGAAAAACGTGTACACTTCCAAGACAGTGCAAACCAAAAGAATTTAACAATGGAAATAGAAATCCTGCGAAAAGAAATCGAAGGAAAGAACAAAATAATTTTAGAAATGGAAGCAAAAATTGAAAAACTCAACGACTTTGAAGAAAAAATGAACAAACTCCAAGTTTGCTTAGACGAAACTGAAAAGGCCCTCACGAACGCCACAAGAACATTCGAAAAAGAACAGGAAGAAGCTAGGGAAAACTTGCAGAAATTAGGAGTCCAGCTAGCAGAAAAGAAGATGCAATTATCAGAGAGGGACAAGGAAATACAACTGCTAAAAGAAGATTCTCAAAGAAAAGATTCAATGTATTTCCAATTGGCAAATGAAAAGCGCGAGTTGGATCGAAATTTGGAACAATTTGAAAAGGAACACCAAAGTTACGAAGAAATAAATACCAGATTAGTTAAAGAACTAGAAAACAAAGATGCAATTATTGAACATGTTTCTTCGGAAAATGAAAGTTCAAAAGAAAAACTACTCAGTTTGCAAAAGGAAATAACTCACAAAGTTGAATTAATTGAAAAATTAAGGGAACAAATTACTCAAAATGATACTTTGGTCGTAGACTTGAAGAGCGACGTACATATTTTAAATGAGGACTTGAAGTACTACCAAAATCAGGCGACTGAACTTGAGAAAAAAGTAGCGATACTCGAAAATCCTGCCTTCAACAAACAAGCTCAAGAAGAGAAATTGAAAAAGTCTCAGTTAATTAAGGAGGTGGCCCAATTGAACGATTTATTAAGGGAAAAAGAAGCACTGATAGAAAAAATGACTGAGGATCAAGAAAATCTTCATTCCAATCTGGTTAGCATCGACAATAAAATAAAGGAACGTGGGAATATTTTTGATTTGAATGATAGGTGAGTAGATTATTTTCGCGATTTTTTCTGCAATTCAATATTTTCTTACTTGGAAATGATAAATCTATTTGTTCATTTCTACCGTGTCATAATTTTGCAAGTTTGCAGTTATTTGCAAGTGGAAAGTAACACTTTATCGCATAGTGTGTGGTGAAGAAGACTGCAAAGCGTGCGGTAAAGTTACTTTAGCCTATAGTGAGCGGTAAAGTAGACTTCGGTATTTGTAATCAAATATCCTTTCTGTTTCACAAATTTCAATAATGCCTTTTTTTGGATATCTACATATCCAAAAAAGTTCATAGATAAAATTTTGTACCTAACACATGCACTTCGTTCTGCGTCGCGCGTCAACAATATATTTCGATCGGCAAAGTACGGGTAAAGTGTCACTTACCACATTTGTTAGGTAAATTACTATTGAAACTATATCCATCTTTTTAATTGGAATCAAGCATAATATAATATGATGTTATGCTTAATTTTTTTGAATTTGTTCAATTTGGCGATATATTCCCCATATACCCCTTGAGGGAATTAAGAAATGCTTGTTAGCCTTGCATCATTTTTTAGGTTGAAAAACGAACAAAAGAAGAACGCCGATTTATATTTGGAAATTCACAAATTGAAAGCCAGTTTATTCAATTACGAAATGGCCTCCAATGATGCTGTCGATGAGATTACCGGACAAGTGAAAGAAGAATTGGCGTGTGCAGCTCAGATAGATTCGAATATTCTTAACGCTGTCAGCGATCATAGTTTAAGTTCAATTTCTGAAGGACAAGATGTGGAGTATTACATGTAAGTTTGGGATTTTTATTACCTGTATAAAATATGAGGATAGATTACACAGAATAAACCAGCAGATAGATTTCTTCTTTCTGGTTTGTCGTCAGATGCGCATTGGCAAGGTCAAACAAGCACCTCGTTTCAAATTTAAAAAAAGCATCTACATAGTTTTGTTTTGAAAAATGAGTACCTATGTTACTCTGAATGGCAAAAGCATGTTTTTGGGAAGAAATATCTAATGTTGGATGACAAATTGCAATGAAATGATCCAGTGTGGTGTGTTTGTGTCCAAAATATTAAGGGTGATCCAACGGCCCGCATTCAAAGCGTCGGAAAGGGTTTCGTAGCAGTCTAATTACTGCTTTACCATAAGTTGTATTGAAATAATTCTTGTTGTAGCCTAATCTACTAATGTGAAGGTATGTTTTTATAGAATTTCTTTTTTTTTTAATCACACTGGCTAACCTACCGCCGGCGTTACTTGTATTTGTGAAAAAGAAAACCGTCTTCCGGCGGCATGGTTTTTGTACATATAAGAAAGCCGCCGAAAATCTAACCTGATTTGTTAATAAGGGCGGCATCCTATCAGTGTATTGATAAATGCCGCCGGACGACGGACGGTCTTATGTGTTTAAAACATTGAATGACGGTGGTATATGCCAGTTATTCTACCACATCAAAATAATAACACTGATGTGGTAGAATGGCTTTTTTAAGTCAATAAACGATTCATTTAGGTATTTTCTATTCACAAACCGATGTCCAAAGGAAAAGGTAAAATGTATCACCTTTCAGTGCTATTTGATAGGGAAATGTGATAAATTTACCTTTACCTTTGGACTACGGATTGTGAATAGGATATACCTACTCAGTTTAAGGTTTAAAGGCAGGCCTATAGTTTATTACAGCAACACGAGATGTCAATGCTGTCGCCCCTATAGTGTGCCCTAACTTGACTGTCAAAAAAAAATAGAAATTTTCATTTGGTTAAATTGTGTGATGTAACGTTTTTTTATTTTTTGGCGGAAATTAGAAGTATTATTCTGTTTTACATAAACAGGGTTGTAGTTTCGACCAACGCAAATAATTTTGAACGTTCATCCGTCGGATTTTTTTCTAAACAGTGTAGCTACGGGCGTATTTCCAACTATTTTTGCAGTAGCGAGAAAACTACAAGTTCAAAAAATTTGAAAAAAATATATGTCGCGTAGAATTGCAATAGTAGTTCGTAAGAAAAATAATGGGAAACTTCATCTATTCGTTTTGAAATAAATGGTGAAAAACTACATTTTTTTCAGTTTTTGCGATATAACTCAAAAATGGCGAGTCAAATTTGCTTAAAAAAATTATGGATTAAAGTATATCGATAACCATAAAACATATATTTTTTTTTGGAATTTTTGAACACGAGGTTCAGAAAATAGGGGTTGACTTTAAACCTTAAAAACATGATAACATTATTCAAGCAAAAACCGGTTAAATACCTGTATAATTTTTTTTTTGTAACAGTCCTAATGAAATTTTTACACTGATAAGACGCAGAATAGTATACTTGACTTTACTATGAAATAAAACTTACACTCAGGTTTTATTATAGTATGGCTTCTAGGGGTTGTTGTTGGTGTGCTAGGTATATTTCGGTGTCCGTCCGAGTATAAATTTCATGATTTTTTATTTATTATTGCATTTATTTTAGTAAATTGACTTTATCGATTTCAGGTAACGATGCCTATATTAGTTATCTCTCCAATCGGAGGTTTTACGTATTTTCTAAACCACATCATAATAATTATACCAGGGGATAAAAAGGTTTTAAGAGTGCGCTTCTCGATGCTGAAAAAAAGGTATTTCGCGTTTGCGACTATGCTGTTTTTATAAAAACAGTTGCATCTAGGGAATTCTAACAAAAACTGTTTTTAAGAATGTACTTTTGTGCTTGCTTGACCAGTAATTTTTTTTTTGATTTTTCTCATTTTTTGAAAAAAAAAAATTCATAAAATGAGAAAAATCAAAAAAATTTTACTGGTCGAACACGCACATAAACATATACTTGAAAAAAGTTATCAGTTAAAATTTCCTAGAAGCAACTGTTTTTATTATAATAGCAAAGGCGCACTCGCGATTTTCAGCATCGAGAAGCGCACTCTTAAATTCATTGTACCTGTACCAACATGCAATAATTATTTTCTTTACATTTTATGTGAATAGGGTACTTGCAGGGAAAATTAAATTGATTATTGTTTATTGAAAACTGTAGGGAATCGAAAAATAATCGTTACTTTTTTTAAATTTCGCCCAAATATGATTATTCCAGAAGTTATACAAATATTAAGTTTTGTATCACAGTTCGGTTTCAGATACGATAGTTTTCGGACCTGTGCTCTTACCGACCTTGGTTTTTAGTGCGTTTGCAGCATTCCTTAAATATTTGGTATTTATTGAAGGATATTTTCTGTGAGTTGTATCTTTTCCTATTATTATATTTTATTTGATAATTTAATTGCTCTTCGTTCATGTCTTAATCATGGCGGGGGGCAATAATCATAAAGAGGATAAACTACCCCCCGATAAAAATAATATTAAAGTAGTCGATCTCACATACAATGATATGATGATAAATGAAGATGAGTCCATAGAAAATAATATTAATTCTCAAACTCAACATGATAAACAGATTTCAGATAGATTAAATAGAATTGATTTGAAAAATAGATATAAAACAAATAGTAACGGTCCATTTTCAGTTTTTGTGGAGCATAAATATTTAAATTTTGGTAGATTGCATCCTCTCAAAATTGGTGAAAAATTATTCAATCTGAATGGCGATGAAAATGATATTGATTTCTTGCACACAGTTGGTCGAAATAGGGTCCAGATTATGTGTAAATCCGCTATAGGTGCCAACAAAATAGTTGAAAATCAGGTATTTGAAAGTAACAATCTTATTGCATATATTCCATCTCATCTTACTCAAAAAAAAGGCCTTATCCGTAATGTTGATACATCTTTCTCAGAGGAAGAAATTTTGAAAATTTTGAAGTCGTCAGTTCCAATTAAGGCAGTACAGAGGAGATTTAAATTTGTTCTCGATAAGGATGGCAATAAAGTAAAAGTTCCTAGACAGCAGATTATTGTAACTTTCGATAATTTAGTCCTGCCATAATTTGTTTATATGTACCGATTGAGATACGAAGTTGATACTTGGTACTCCCCGGTCACTCAATGTTATAATTGTTTAAATTTTGATCACACTGCTTCCCAGTGTAAAAGCAAAAAACGATGCAAAACCTGTTCTAAAATATTAAATGACGAGGGACTGTGTACTGATTGTGAGACTTTTTGTGTTCATTGTAAAGATAATTCTCATATTTCTACTAGTAAAAAATGTCCTAAATATAACAATCAGGTTAAAATTAAGCAGGCGATGGCAAATCTTAATGTATCCTTTAAAGAAGCCGAAAAAATTGTAGATAACCCATCTTATGCAAGCCTCGTTTCGAAAAATAAATTTGCTCCATTGTCTTCAAAAACCGATTTTCCTGAATTACCACCGAACTATAGAAATCAATCTAATCCCCCAAATTCAAAAACGACATTTGTAGCTCATCCACATTCCAGCAAGTCTATTCCCTCTTCCAGTGTATATGAAAATTATAAAAAACGGAACGTCAGTGATAGAAGTCCTTCTTTTGAACCCGTTAGCAGAGAATTTGATTGGTCCTATACAGGTGCACCTTGGATTGAGTCTCATCAGATAACTTGCTTGCCCAAATGTTTTCCTCCAACTCCAACCTAACAGTGCCAAACGGAAAAACTCCACCGTTCATTGAAAGGGTTTCCCATAGTATGCCAGAGGTACCCTTTTATCACAGAGAAATACGAAAATCCCTAAAAAAGCTGGATACAAACAAAGCAATGGGTCCGGATGGCATTCCCGCAATAGTACTCAAAAATTGCGCCAACGAACTCACCCCAACTTTCGCAAAATTATCCAATTTGTCTTACAGGCAAGGAGTATATCCATCATCATGGAAGTCTGCCGCAGTACAACCCATTCCAAAGAAAGGAAAAAAGACAGATCCGTTAAACTATAGACCAATTGCTCTACTTCCGGTGATATCAAAAGTAATGGAAAGAGTTGTGAACAATCACCTAACCAAGTACTTGGAAAAGTACAAAATTATCAACGATAAGCAATACGGATTTCGAAAATATAGGTCAACTGGCGATTTACTTACATACGTCACTCACTTATGGCAAAAAGCGATTGAGTTGCGGGGTGAAACAAGAACAATTGCCTTAGATATATCTAAAGCATTCGACAAAGTTTGGCATGAAAATCTGCTCAACAAGCTCAAAGCAATGGGATTATCGCCGAAACTTTGCACTTGGTTTGAAAGTTACCTAAAGGACAGATCCATTTATGTTGCACTGGATGGCCAGAACTCCAACTCTTACCAAATAAATGCTGGTGTGCCACAGGGAGCAATCCTTTCGCCAACTCTTTTTCTGATTTACATAAATGACCTCATAGGTAAAACAGTAAATCCACTTTATTGCTTTGCAGACGATGGCAATGTAGTCTCCTCACTCATACCACCGACAGGTCTTTCCGCACGTGAATTCCATCATCTTAGACTAACTCAAATATCGCAGATAAATAACGACCTGGAGATAATAGAGGACTGGGGTAACAAAAACCTTGTACAGTTCAACGCGCAGAAAACCCAAGCAGCTCTGTTTTCAAAAAAGACCAGCACCGGTGAGCCAAACATCATGCTATCTGGAAGTGCTGTCACATTACAGAGTCAGTTGAACATCTTGGGGGTTACTGCAGAGACCAACATGTCTTGGCACAGTCACGTGGCAGATATTGCTAAAAGGGCCTCCCAAAAGCTGGGGGTGCTATTTCGTACAAGACATCTGTACACACCAAGCCAATTGCTGACACTCTACAAAGCCCAGATTCGACCAACTATGGAGTACTGCTCACATATATGGAGTGCAGCACC